TAACTGTGATACTGGGTGATGTTGGAGGCTCAGTGTGATCCTGATGCGGTGTTGGAACTATTGGATTGTGATATACTGGAGGCTGAGCTACAAAAACCTCCTGAGGTGGTTCTGCAGGCTGGGTTAAGGTCTCCTGCATGACTGGAGAAGGTTCGTCCTCCTTAGTGGGTTCTGGCCTTCTGGTCAGTCCAAGGTCCAATGGTTGAATTGTGACCTCAATCAAGGTTGGGTGGCGAGCCTGAACTTGCTCTGGATTTGGAAATGTCACCTCGGGGTACGGTGGTTGAATTGGGGGTCCTTGGCGAACTGGAAAAAAATCAACATTTTCAGAGTAGATTGGATGCTGATCTGAAAATTGCTGCCAGACTAACAAAGGTTCCAACTGCTCAGAGGACACTGTAGACTGAGCCGAGGTTTCTTGTTGGGGTGGAGAAGTTTCAACCTCATTAGTGAACGCTGGAGTTACGATCAGTGCAAGACCCACAGGTTTAACAGTGACATCGGGCCGCTGCAGAAGCTGAGCTTGATCCTGACCTGGAGGAGAAACTGTCGGCACAGGATGCTCTGGAGAGAAAACTACAGTCACATTAGAGAGCTCTGGAGACTGAGTTGGAGAGGATTCCACCTCACCAGGAGGCTCTGGAGGCTGAGCTGTGGCTTCCTGCTGAGGTGGAGAAGGTACAACCTCAGGAGCCTGTGGACGCTGATCTGGAGTCGCCTGCTGGCTTGTGGCAGGTATAACCTCTTCTCCAGGATGCTCTGGATACTCAGCTGGGGGCTCCGCTTGTACTGAAGGTGTATTATGTGTACCAGCTTCTGGAGATTGGGCTGGAGCCTCCTGTTGAACTGGCAAAGGTTCAACCTCCTCAGGTGGCTCTGAAGGCAGCGTGGGGGCCTCATGCTGGGTTGTAGAAAATTCTGCATTAGTAAGGGGCCCTGAGGGCTGAGCTGAAGGCTTGCGCTGATTTGGAGAAGGGCCCACCTCTGGAGTGGGTTCTTTTGTTATGGTAAGCTCCACATGTGCAGGTTTGACAGGGACACCGGATAAGTCTGAATGCTGAGCCTGAGGGTGACTTGGAGGTGAAACTGTCATTTCATGATGCTCTGGAGGTTGAGCTGGCTGTTCCTGTTGAGTTGGCGAAGGTTCCACCTCCCCTGAAGAAGGCTCTGGAGGCTGAGCTGGTTGTTCCTGCAGGGTTGCAGAAGGTTCTATCTCCGCTGGAGATAGAGCTGGGATCTCCTGCTGGGTTGGAGAAGATTCTGCCTCATTAGGGGGCTCTGGAGACTGAGCTGAGGCTTTCTCCTGGGTTGCAGAAATTTCAGCTTCTCCAAAAGACTCTGAAAGCTGAGCTGGGGTCTCCTGCTGGGTTGCTGGAGGCTCTGTAGGCTCAGAAGGCTGAGTCGGTTGTTCCTTTTCACTTGGAGAAGGCTCAGCTTCCACAGGAGGCTCTGGAGGCTGACCTGTGGTCCCCTGCTGGGTTGGAGAAGGTTCAACCTCCTCAGCATACTCTGGAGGCTGAGATGGGGTCTCCTGCTGGACTGGAGAAGGTTCAA